TCTACCTTCATACGATGTGTTGGTTATATTTTTCCCAGCACTTCCTTATGTTCGTGAAAAGTAAGAAGGTAATGGGGACGAATGTTTTGGATTCAGGTAAGTTAAGAGCTAGCTTGGCCTGTATAAAAAGTAACAAACCTCGCATTTCCACAAATAGAGGCCATCATCCCGAAGCCGATCCAGATTCATATTGTTATTGATTTCGAACAAAGGATATTTCCGATTCAAGTCAGCCTCCTCTAAAGCCCAGATATCTAACTGACGATACACTGAACAGTAAATAGAAGAGGAGAGTTGGCAATCATCTGAGTCGTCCAGCTTAGTGGGTTCGAAATACCACTCTTCGTAGGCCTCATGAAGTAGTTTTAAATGCTTAACGCTATCAAGCATCTTTCTTAAGAAGGGCGGCTAAAAGTAGAAACAAAGAAAGAGATAATTACCTCAAGTTTTGCTTAAAGTCAGAATCATCAATCATTAAAAATGTTTGGCCTATGATTGCCTTCGTCAAGCACCAGCAGATACTTTTGCATCAAATGCCCAGATTAAATTTACGGACAACTAGCTCATAAAACATTTTTCTTTGGAAGTACCTGCTAAAATGTGATTTTCCCAAATTGGCCTTATGAGCAAAATTTATTTAAACACAAGCCGAAACTCATTTTGGAGAAACTTTCAATTCGTTTGCAGAGGCGAGTGGAAGGGTCCTCGGCGCACTGCCCTGAGACCCTTGCTGAACTTTCGTCCGTCACGTGACGGACAACCTCAGAGCAGGACACCATGCTCAACGATACTTCACCAAAAACACGAAGAAAAGAGAGGTGGCCGGCTACATACCTACTTCTTTCTTATATTCCAATTTGGTCCCCTCAGGCATCTCATGTTTTGGTTGGATGTTCTATGCGTTGCCTCTATATTTGCTCATAATTTAAGTTAAGTGGCTGCGGATGACATGTGAAATGGCTGCAGTTGAAGTGTGAAACGGATGCAATTGAAACTGAACAGCTGCATCCTCCCCTAAAACACGTATGCCTTTGATCCTGCAATGCTACCGTATGTGATTGTTTCCAATTGCACTTATTTTATGTGAATGCATTGCTCTTGAATTAAGTGTGATGTGGGAGTCAAAACCAAATTCCAGCCTAATCAAGCCTCCTCTTGCTCGGTGGTACTTCTCGTTCCCTCCCCCCCTCTCTCTCTCTAAACCTATCCAACAACCACAAGTAGTTTCCGCTTAACTTCCTACATTCATTCCTTCTATTCAAGGTGTTGGCTGTTTCGTTGATTTCTATCGCCTACCTAATCTTTCACTTACTTTTTGGTATAGTCTCTATATCGAGTTAAGCGTTTGGCATTCGACCAACCTATCTGGTGTCCTGTGCGAGGTGCGTTCAGCCAATTCCGATTTTTAGACCCACATACCCTTGCAGACTGTTTAGGATAACCTCTTATATATGGGTCTACAGGTTTCTCCCACACAGACACTACCACATGAACACAAAATCTTGTAACGGCTTGAACTGGAGAGCGGTTGAGAGTATTCTCGAAAAGAAGGCAATCCCGAGAACAGTGTTAGTTTCTGTGTCGCAGTCTCATTTCGACTTATAGTTTCTCTTTGTAAATGGTCCTGATGTCCCACCTCCTCATTAATTCATATATCGTCTTCGACAGATTACACGATGGCAACATAAGGACTCTGGTAGAGCGGTCTTACCTTAGATCTAGCCCCAAATATGTATTTCCCTTCACTCTGTTCGACAATATTCTAAAATAGTTGTCAGCCAGCCCTCGTGGATAATTGTTCTCAACCAGAATTCTCCTTAGTCTCCCCAGTTCCTGGTCCCGATGTTTAATTTCTGCCAGACGCAGTCTCCTTATTATCATAGACTGCATAATTCCCACTTTAACCACATAAGTGTAATTGGAGAAGAAATTCAAAAGGAAACCTGCATTTATGGGTTTCCTATACACATCTTGACCTAATCTGGTCTCTTCTTTGTTAACTAGGAAATCAAGAAACAGTCAACCACCTTTCTTTAATTTACATAGACTCAACATCAAAACATGCCAGTTAATCCCCATTTTCTATATCCTGCTCGTCGACTAAGTTAACAAATTCATAGGAATTCTTGACTGAAACCTTCCATGTCTCGGCTATTTGCTTCAACTGATTACAAATAAATTGTGACGTTTTATGCATCACGCTTTCCTTATTATTCACAATCATTCAGTGGCACTCCATCTTTATGTATTTTGGGCAGGCCAAAACAGCCTGCAAGGGTATGTGGGTCCAAAAATCGGAATTGGCCGAATACAACTCGCACAGGACACCAGATAGATTGGTCGAATGCCAAACGCTTAACTATATCAACCAGTAAGCGAAAGATTAGAGAGGCGATAGAAATCAACAAAACAGCCAATACCCTGAATAGAAGGAATGAGTGTAGGAAGTTAAGCGGAAATTACTTGTGGTTGTTGGATAGGATTAAAGAGAGGGGAGGAACGAGAAGTACCAGCGAACAAGATGAGGAGGCTTGATTAGGCCATAATCTGGTTTTGACTTACACATCACACTCAATTTAAGAGCAATGCATTCACATAAAATGAGTGCAATTGGAAACAATCACATGAGGTACCATTGCAGGATCAAATGCAGAAGTGTTTTAGGGGAGGATGCAGCTGTTCGGTCACAATTGCAGCCGTTTAACGCTTCATCTGTAGCTACTTCACATGTCATTCGCAGCTACTTAACTTGATTTATGAGCAAATATGGAGGCAAAGCATACCACATACAACTCCATGGTCTGACTCTGAAAGTCATCATGCATACTATGGCCTCGGAAAAAGATGTGTTCCTTTAGGTATTCATGCATATATTAACAAGTTGTAAAAACAATATCAAACAACTACTATATAACGAAAGGAGACCGTGACCCAAAGTAGGCAAATAAGTAAAAAAAAGTGACCGCGATTAGAAGCAATTCAAGAAAACATTATGTTGAAACCCTTCATTTAGTATGGAAGTACATGATGAAGGGATTCGTTAGTCAATTCATACGATATGAAAGACTTCACAAAAACATTATCTTAGGAGAATATTCGAAACCTGCATTTTCTTCGTAAATATGAAAAAGGCTAGCTGAGTCGCCTCCTTTTTGCAGGCGGCTCAGCATACTATCTATTCTTGAGTGTACTAATAACCATACGAAAATTATAATTAACTTCTTGCTGGTATCCGTTACATTAAATCTATTACCTCTGGTTTATTTTGATAGCCTATAATTTAACGTTTTGCCGCAGACAAAATTAGCAGAACGAGAAGTTTGAGACCATTCAATTTAATTTCCAGTATCAGCCTTGTTCACAACTAGCTCTGATCTTTGGACCCAACACCCCATACAGGCACTTTTGTGCTCTGAAACACTTTTTTGAATGTAACAACATGTTCTTCCAACATAAAAGCGATCTCATCAACACATTATTTTATAACAACCCGATCTAGGTAATGAGTCAACTTTCTCTCTAAAAATAGGCATAATTGAAGAAAGTGTCGTAATTTTCCTGAAAAACGTTTTTATTTCAAACTTTCTTACTAATTCACCTATCTTTTTAGAAAGTATGCAATTATGGAAAGACAAAACATGGGAAAAGATTTTCGACTATTTTTAATTAAGTATTCACCATTAAAAAAGGCATTCATTTTTAATCTAATCTTATTTTTAATAAGACCCAGAGGATAATTATTTTCAAGAAATATTAGTTTGAACCGATCCAGTTCAGTATCACAATGTACTATTTCGCCTAGTATTATGATCCGTATTAGTATAAATTTAAAAACGCCAACCTTTGTGTTGCTACTAAGTCTGGAGAGGAAATTAAGGCTAAGCCAGCTTGTGTTGGCTTCCTATATACATCACTGCTTAACTCCTCACCCACTCTGATAACTAAAACATCCAAAAAAGCTAAATTATTGTCCTTTTTTATCTTTATTGTCTTTTTTTTCTTGGTTTTAATCACATTTACGTTGGTGTACTTCCTAATCCATTTTTCATCTCTCACATGAAGGCCATATCATCACCATAACCAGAAGTCTTTCCTATCTTGCGCAACAAGAGTGATGATATATATATATATATATATATAAAGGTGATTGTGGTAAGCAAAAGTTGATGGCCGAGAGAAAACTTAACATTTTCTGCTTTAATTACTTGTTTAGCAAATATGAAACACATGCATGCCCAAGCACATACAAAGACAAACACATTTACAGGATTCGAGGTTGACTTATGACTTGAACTAACTAAATCACTTTATACCTCATCAAAATGCTTAGATATGGTATATATATATATATATATATATA